AACAAGTTTTGTTGGGACATGCCAAGGTGGAGATTTGTTAGTTTGGCAAGTCCCATAGTCCCACATCGGGAAAATCAGACTTGTTGTCTCGTCTTGGAACTATAAATAAGGGCCTGGGCTTTGATGTTAGACACACCACGAGATGTACCACAGACACCACAAGAAGTACAGCAGGGAAAACCTGCTTATGGTTTGAAGTCTTCTTGTTTAGGAAGCTCAAGGTGTTTTATGGCCTAGGAATAACTTCCTAAGGCATATGTAAGTGTCCCTCTTTTATAGTAGTGATTTGCTCCTCTTTCGTCCGTGGATGTAGGTCAATTGATCGAACCACGTATATCTGGTGTTCTGGTGTTCTTGTCTCTCTTGTTGCATTTATTCTTTCCGCTTTATTGTCTTTGTTTGGTTGCCAAAATTATCCTTTGGTAAATATCCTGCGGCTAGCTCTAACACCTGCTAACTTAACCATCGAAGGACTTCACTTAGGAATTCCCTCTCCCAACGTCGACCTGTTGTGCAGGATCTTACTGTGGATGAGGCCGATTAAGCTTCACCTCAAGTCGGCCATGAAGATGTAGTAGACACCCGAGAGCCAACCCTTCAATCCGACCTTGTTCCTCTTGCCTCCTTGTTCAAGAATCCATATGGTTTCAGGATAAAACCGAGCTATACCGATCCCCAAGCCATGACACAAAGGTACATAACAGATTGTGCTTTTATTTTCGTTCATTCCTATCGAGGGACTGCTAAAGCCTCACCACTACTTCTCATCTCATTATTGACCTCGATAAAGGGGAAGGATGTGGCCATTGGTGGGGCTTCCTTTCTCTCCTCTCCCTTAAAATTTTATTTCGATTAAAACTGATTAGGAATATGTTAACTTGAAATTGAAAGCGTTCGGAAGGGCATAGTGGATGTAAAGATTTAATTTACAGTAAATGTAAATTGTAAGAAGTAAATGTAAACTAGATTTTATAGTGATTCGGTCGTCGTGACCTACATCTACTCTACCGATTCCTCTTCCATAGAGGCCACCGGCATCCACTATCGGTCTTTCTTTAATAGGCGAAGACCAACCGCC